GTGGTCACTTCCAACCCCTATTAACAGATTGTGCAATAGGAGTGAACAGTTTTTTTTTTTTACATGCAAAATCTGCTAGTATAAACATATTTCTTCTATCTTAAATGATAATAAATCAAAGCTTAAACCATTACTGCCTAGAGTTAAGTTTATATTACAGTCAGAACATTTTCCCGAGTAGTGTTCTCAGACTTTTGGCCTGAATGAGAGAGACCCAGACTTTTGGAGGCTACTAGTGATACACCATGCCCCAATTCTTTGCCTGTCAGCTTCTATGTATGCATTTATTGTGCTTTTCATTAGCAACAGTTGCATTCCTACTCTATGTATATATTTCTTCATCATTACACAGAGTGGAAGGGAATTTTTGGGCGATACCAACACTCCTCGTCATCCAGATATGTCTACACTACTGTGGCAATTCATCAGTCAGCAAGTCTTACAGTCCCCACTGCACATATAGACACTTACACAAAAAAACAGACAGAACACTGGAAACAAGGAAAAAGGGGCAGATCAATCTATTGCAACCTGCAGTGTGTGGCTTCACGTGTAGTACTTTGTTTGACTCCAACCCACAAGAACATGAAACACTTTGTGTGCCTCAGGAGGCAAGGAAAAACGAAACCCACTCAGATCTCCTGCCTCAGGAATATACGTGAGCAAAAAACAGTCCAATTTTACACATCAATCAGAAGCAAATCAGTCGGGCCGAGACAGAAAACTGCTTTAATGAATTCAGACAATAGGTGCTTTCAGACAGCCCAACACTGAAAATCAGAACACATATTTTTATACTTTCACCCACATGCTTGCAAACTTAGAGAGAGAGATCACAGGCATGTCACAGTGATAGCAATGGAGGAAGAATGCATGGCGGGGGAATTTTAGTCATGCTACTAGCTGTGAAATGGGTTTAAAACAGCCATTCAGCTTGTGAAAGGAAGTGCTTAGGAGAATGTGGCGAGACAACAAAGACTAGTGAGAGGAACGGGACAGTGAAGAGTGGTATCCCAGCTCTGGCAGTAGAGCTACTGATTGTTGCTTTGATGTGCACAATTCGCCTGCCTTTTTCTGTTCTGATGCATCCGGGATCAGAGCATTCATGACAGGTGTGCAATGTGCACAGACTTTTTTTATTTCACTTTCACAAACACTGACGACACGCTCACAAGCCAGTCTAGGCCCCACTGATGCCTATTTAAAGAATTGTGTTCACATCTTCCTTATTGCCACCCGACATTGTGCTCCAAGTCCTGCATTTTATTGATAAAAGAAAGCAGGAACTGAGCCATGTGGAAACACAGTTAAAAGTACAAATGAAGATGTACTGCTGCTGCTCTGGTCAAATCAACAAGATAAAAGTGTTTACCCTATCACAAAGCAGAAGAATAAACTTGGGAAGTGGAATCAAGACAAAGTTGAACCACTACCTCTGGGGAAAGCTATAGTTATCCGCCTGTCTATAGTGAAACTTCAGTCACCATCTATTTAATCAGAGCCTGTTGAGAATGGTGTTTTCAATTGTCTGGACACGCTGCCCGTCTGTGTCTCGATGTCAACCCTCTATTCAGACATGGACTAATGCCTGCCGCCACTTCACTCAATAGGATGTGGCACTTATCATCAGGACAATGACCCGGTTGTAGCAGTGTGTAGCAGAGGTGGGCCAGAGTAAGGCAAGAAATAGAGTCAATTGGGTCAGGATGGAAAAGCTAAGGAGAGAAAATGAAATGCCTGGGCACAATGAATGCAGGCCAACCACTGTGTTCCCTTGGACACTAAGAAGGCAAATGGTGCAATAAGGTTAGTCAGCCTCCTTCGTCTCCATCGAATACTCTCTGTTCCACTTTACTGGTACTTTGAGCAACAAGAAGCAAAGCCATTCACAGAATGATGAACAGGGACAGACTAATGACAGCCACACATCATAAGCTGATAATAAACATTGGAATTAATGTTAACGCCTCCACCAACCAGTCAAGTAGTAGATAACATCAATGCCTGTTTAGACTCATGTAATATATGCAGTACAGACTATATTGGAATTTAGTAAATGTGTATGTTGCCTTTTTAGCAAAGGAATGCTTTGGGTATGGCCACAAACACCTTTGTGAGGTCACAACGACCTTGAACTTTGACCACAAGAAATCATGTGGCAATGAATGTTTAATATTTAACCTTTAACAATGACCTGTGTTGTTTGATTTTG